AACAAGCAGAATCAGAACTATAAATACAAACTGATGGTTGCCAGAGGGGAGGGGGGTGGGAAGTTGGGCAAAATAGGTGAAGGGGAGAAGGCAATACAGGACTTGAGTAATAGAATGACTGAATCACCGGAATAAAAACAGAGTATAGGGAATACAATCAGTGGTATTGTAACAGCAACGTAATGGGACAGATGAGAGCTATACTCGTGGTGAACATAAGCACAATGTATAAACTTGTCAAATCACTAGGTTTTACAGCTGAAATTAACATAGCATGTCAACTATACACAAATTATTATGTTTTATAAAGATTTTATTTATTTATTTGACAGAGAGAGACACAGAGAGAGAGAGAACACAAGCAGGGGGAGTGGGAGAGGGAGAAGCAGGCTCCTAACTGAGCAGGGAGCCCGATGCGGGGCTTGATCCCAGGACCCTGGGACCACGACCTGAGCTGAAGGCAGATGCTTAACGACTGAGCCACCCAGGTGCCCCCACAAATTATTTTTTTTAGAGGTTTTATTTATTCATTTGACAGAGAGAGAGAGCACAAGCAGAGGGAGCGGCAGAGGGATAAGGAGAAGCAGGGAGGACCCTGGGATCATGACCTTAGGCAGATGCTTAACCAACTGAGCCACCCAGGCACCCCAATTATACACAAATAAAAAAAAAAAAAGTCAATAGTATTCCTATACACCAACAACACAGTTAGAAAATGTAATTTAAGTGAAAGAAATAACTTTCAGTAATAAGAAAGACTATAGCTGTAAAAGATATTTATAGGGGCGCCTAGGTGGCTCAGTGGTTAAGTGTCTGCCTTCGGCTCAGGTCATGATCCCAGGGTCCTGGGATCAAGCCCTGCATCGGGCTCCCTGCTCAGCAGGAAGCCTGCTTCTCCCTCTCCCACTCCCACTGCTTGTGTTCCCTTTCTCACTGTGCCTCTCTCTGTCAAATAAATAAAGAAAAAATCTAAAAAAAAAAAAAGATATTTATAAAGGAAATTATAAATTAGAACCTTGTATATAAGATTTATCCATGGAGACAGATGTGATCCTCGTTCATTCATTTAACTCCTATGCAGTACCCCATAATCTATCTATGTAATAATTTACTTATCTATTCTCGTTTCATGGACATTTAGGTGGTTTTCAATTCTTTTATGTTACAAGCAAAGCTACTGCAAGAAACAACTTTAATAGATGGCTCCTTCTGTTTATACGCAGGATTTTTTTCTAGAATATTTCTAGAAGTAGAATTGCTGGTTTATGGAGTATGATACATTTCCAACTTTTTGATATTGTCGACTTACTCTCCAAAGTGACTTTACCAATTTACACTGTCACCAGCTGTGTATACATATTCCCACCACTCCACTTCTTCCCCCTTAACCCTTGGTGTTGCCAGACTTGTTACATTTTTTTCCCCCAATCTGAAAGTTATAAGTGTCATCTCATTGCAAATGTAGGCTCCCTAGGAACTATAACTTTGTTTTTCTTCCCTGCTGTTTCCTTAGAGCTACAGTTGTGCTGGTCCTTTTGTAGATACTCAAATATTTGTGGAGGAAACAAGTGAATGAAGGTTCACTGGTAAGGCTGAGCATCCTTGCTGTGTTTATAACTGATATGTTAAAGAGGAGCCCTCAAGGTGTGGAAAGCAAGACTATTATTATTACACTTGTGTTTAAAATTTCAATCTAAAACCCAGTATGTCAACTGAGGGGGAAAGTATAAATCACTTTGCTTTAATGAGAGACAGAGACTATCAGACTGTCAAGGGACCACCCAAGGAACAGAAAAGGCACTGGGCCTGGGGATCCAAAGATCTTAACCCAATCTCCTTCCAATTTAGGACTGCAACTTCCTATGTATGGGCAGATTACTTAACCTTCCTGAATCTCAGGTGTCATCATCTTAAAATAGAGAAGATGATAATAATACCCATTTGGAATCCTAAGCAGAGAGCACAGAGTTCATTAATTGGACCTTAACACAAAAATAGCAACCATCACCTAACTTCAGACATTCCACCCCACACAAAATGCCACAGATGGCACAAAAACATTCTTCTACCAGAGGTCAAGTTGGTATCTATGGACCAGATAGTACCACTATGGGCCAAGTAGTACAAAACCAGGTAGTTTCATCCTTGACATCTTCCAGCACTGCTCCAAACCCAAAGTTTCCAGTTAGCTGGCATTTCTGGGACACTCTCATTCCAGTTCTGCTCCCTAATGATCTATCTACCAACCCTCTCAATTATGTGACTTGGAAGTCCTGCTTGGCTAAACACATCCCAACATATCTCTCAATCTATTTACTGAATAGTTGCTGAACTTTGCTTTCTCCCAAGGTCACTCCTATTCTGAGCTGCCCTCATAAGGGGGTTCTTCTTTCTCCCACTCTTCATGTACTCCAGGGCTGAGACATGGCCACCAGCTTGTGGAAAATCCAAGTTTTCTGGGGACTATTATAAAATTTGGGGAGCTCTCTTTAAGAAAAATATTATAAAACTATAAATACAAACATCTTCTGATACTTCTCTCTTTTGTTTTGTGGGTCACTCTACCACGTTCATTGAGGACATAGGAACTTCTAAACGACTATGATATGAAGGAGGGGGTGAATCATCCAAAACTACAGCTTCCCTGTCTTTTTCTTCTTCAGTGTCAGTGATTTTTACCCCACAGCATTTCAGCAAACCACTGCTTGGCCACCCTATGGACCTTGTTATAATTTGCAACTGCTCCAACTCTAAAATCCTAAATTTAAAATTTCCATTCTCTGACCGCAACCCCCCTCCCTCTAGCTCTTTCACTCTCATGTAAAAGATCCCCATTAATTTTTTTCTCCATATGTTCAGCTCCTCTCCAACATCACTTCCTTTTTCTTCCTGACTGTATACTAGCCACTAAGTAGGGTGCACCCTAGGGTGAAAATTTAAGGAAGCACTCATGTTCAGGGTCATGCAAGTGCAGGGTATATATTATGTGTCATGATGCATTACTTTAATTTCTCACCATTACATTGAACTTTCTTGAACCCTTGCTCTTCTTTCCACAAGCCTTGCAAAACCAGTCCTTGATCCATCCAGTTGTTCAATGTCTCTCCCAAGCAACTGAATATGCCTGAGCAAGTGACAGACCTGCAGATGAAGGACAATACAAATTACTAATCCTCATTCTAGATCAGCCCTCAACTCTACCAGCAATCCTTTTGCACATCTGTAGATGAATGCTTTTACTCTTCCCTGCAGCAGTATGGTAGACATTGTTAGTTGTCAACTCAATTAATACCCATTTTCTTCCTTAGTCACAGCATCTCAATTTTTTTCAAGTAGCAATATGCCCAGCTAAGAGATAACTACATTTCAGCCATGAGAAGCCAAAGTGGTATAATCTGAAGTTGGGAAGGTCTTCTAGTAAAGCTCCTTAAAAGCAAAACTGATGACAGAGAGAAGCGTCTGTGTAACCTTGTGCTCTTTTTTACCCTTTGCCCTCTCAACTCCCTGCTTTCTGCCTGGAACAGGCATCTTGAAACACGTGGCAAATTGAAGATGGAAACCATTGCTAAGGATGGCAGAGCAGAAAGAGAGGAGATTGGGTTCTTTGTGATAGCAAGGAGCTTCCAGACCAGCGCTGGATGGGTGGCATACCTCCAGACTTCTCCATGTGAAAGAAAAACTTTTATCCAGTGTCAGGCACCACTATTTCGGCTCAAACACAATTTTTACCTGGTAATACAAAAAATAGTCCCAAATTTTCAGTGCTCCCTGCAAGTCTTATTCCTGCCCTCCATTGAAAAAATCAAGGTCATTCGATGCTAAAGCACTGAAATCCCTGCCTTGAGAACCTCATTTCCCTCTTATCCCAGTAACTTCTGTCCAAGGCAGAGCATTGCAGCCAGGTTTAGCTAACCTTGCCCTGCGCTTCCTCAGAACATCTTCCTAACATCCCTTCTCTCTCCACTATAGGTAACATCTCCCCGTCTGTCCATTCTGGCCATAAAGCTACCGAAATCTCTCTCTTTAAAAAACAAAACAGGGGCGCCTGGGTGGCTCAGATGGTTAAGCGTCTGCCTTCGGCTCAGGTCGTGATCCCAGGGTCCTGGGATCGAGCACCACATTGGGCTCCCTGCTCCTTGGGAGCCTGCTTCTCCCTCTGCCTCTCTCTCTCTCTGTCTCTCATGAATAAATAAATAAAAATCTTAAAAAAAAAGAAAAAGAAAAAGAAAAAGAGAATTCCGTATGGAGTTACATATTTATTAAAAAAAAAAATTTAAAAAACAAAACAAAAAATTCACAATCCTCCTTCCCACCCCACGACTCCCGTGAACTACTCTCCCAGAAGTCTTTCCTTTCCCCCACGTGCAAAAGAAAAGCGGAGTCCGTGCGCGCCAGCTTCTCCCTCAAACCGCCTACCTACCCGCTCACAGGCCACTTCCCCAGGCCCCCTGGCCCTCACTCGCCCCAAATGGCGCCCTGACTGCCAGAGCCTCTGCACCCCTGCTTTTTACTCGCCTCAGCGGGAAGCAGGCTGGAGCGCCCCTCCTTTGTGAATCGCCTCCTCTCAGGCCTGCACCGTGCAGGCTGGCCTCCTCCTTCCTCTCCCCTTGTCCTCAGTCAGCTCCTCTTCCTAAGTGTCGGAGGCGTTAGGCCCGAGGAAGGAAGGACACCAGGAGCTCAGAGGAGGGAACATAGGCTGTCCTAACTGAACACACTCAAATGGAAGGGCCGGTCTGGGAGAGCGGGGGGCGCAGGGACCGACCGGTCCTCTGGAAGCACCGACACCTGGGCGTCCACGCACTGGAGCTAGCATGGTGTGGAACACTCTTGAGCTTCTCCAGGTGCCTCGGGACAGAGCAGCCCGGCGGCGGGCCTCGCCCAGAGCGCATGCACCGGCCAGCGGCGGGAGGGCGGCGCCTGCGCAATAGGCAGGCAGCGCGTGCTAGCCAGGGTACGTAAGGGCGGGAGCCAGGGCGCCAGGTGCCGGGGACTCTCCGGGTCGCCGAGGTCGGTTTGGAGCAGGCGGGGGTGCGGGGATGCGGGTCCCGAGGGAGCAGGGTAGACTGGCTTGTGGGACGGGGGCGAGGTGTGAGCCGTGGGTAAGGAGACACTGGGCCCAGGGGAGGGGCTCCTCCAGAGCCGGAAGGGGCGGGATAGGCACGCCGGCCAGGCGGGGACCAGAGCCTGCAGGCCGGGCCCAAGCCACCGCCCTCGAGTGGAGCTCCTGGGCGTAGCCCGACGCGCTCCAGGCGCCGCACAGCTCCCCTCTTGGCCTCCCAGGCCTCAGTCTTCCTTCGGGGCTGCTGCTGCCGCTCAGGGAGCAGAGACTTGCTCTGGCAGGATACGGCCCCGCCCATGGGCAGCGCTGCCCTGTGTCCCCGATCCCAGCGAGCGGGAAGAGAAGGTGAGGACGCTGCCACCCAGACTTGGGGTTCTGAAAGGGACCTAGGATGATTTCTCCCTTCCTGGCCGCGCTGAGCGCCACTGCCCCTTCCTAAATATGAACACCTGTTTTTCAGCCTAGAAAATGAACTGCTCTTCAGAAAACAACGCGCACTTTGAGGGTGGTAACGCCAGACCCTTTTTTTATGTGCATGCTGTGGGCCAGCAGCCTTACCCGAGTCCCTGGTACCAGAATCCCACCTATAATCCATTCTCTGTTCCTGGGGCAGGTAAGAAATCTGAGAAGTTCAGTGGGGTTAGGGACCCTCCCCCTAGAGCAATACCTTAATCCACGACTTCCCTTTCCTCACCCTGTCCTGACAAAAGAGATTATGGCAGCACACAGGGGCAGTGTTTGAAGTTCATCTTAATAGGTAAAGTTGGAATTCTACCTATATGCCACTTATTCTGCCAAATACTGAAGTAGGCTCTCTCATTTGACCTCACCAACCCCCATGAGCTAGGTAACATTGCTGTGTTTCACAAGTGAGGCAACAGAGGCTCAGAGTCCGGGACTTGCCCAGAGTTACACAGGAGTCAAACCAAAATTTTATGAAACCAGTCTGGTAGAAGTACCTTAGAGCTCCTAGTCCCTATAATTTTTTCAACAAGGCCTAAAGATTCTAAAAGCTGTCCTGGGGAGGTCAAAAAAGTACTTTGGGAGAAGAATGATGAGGCTTAAATGTTGGGAGGTAGACATCTAGGATTTCATGCATTACAGAAGTGGGAGGGGGCTTTAGGCAGGGCAGGAGGATCCATGGAGTGATTCGCCCTTCTCATGCCTCTGGTAGCAAAGATAATGTTAAATCTATTCTTCAGTGTACCCTGCTGTAGATGAAGTATTTTGTGTATCTTATGCAACTGTTTTCCAAGGAGAAAACTAGGTGTGATAAGGACTGCTTTTGAGTCCATCAATCACTGATCCCACCTAAGTAGTAGAATCTTTAGTCCAAGGAGCTCCTATTGGCAGCCATTTTAAAATTGCAGTCTGAGCAATAAGGAATTTTGCCAGCATATGACTTGTGGACTTCAGCTCCTCACTGTGTCTCCAGCAAGACTGCCTACCTGACATATTTTGGACTTGTACCTCCACATGAGCTAGTTCTTAAAGAAATTTTTATATAAACATTCCATTAGCTTTGTTTCTCTGGTGACCCCTAATTAATACAGATGTTGAAATGTGATTTTGGAATGGTTCAGATGAAGGAACTGTATGAGGAAGACTCTTGAGATCAGAGGGTGGGAAATTCCTGAGAGAAAGAAATGCATATTGTATCTTAAACTTGAATTAAAAGGCTGAGATTCTGTACTTGTGCACTTTTTTCATGTAATTCACCTTAAGGTTTAAGGTATTTGTCCTGAGAGTTGTGGTTTAAGAGAATTAAAGTGATGAGTACTGGGAGTAGGAATCAGATCTGTATTGTTTGTTTGCTTATTTAACTGCAACCTAACTCAGGGATTTTAGTGAAGAAAAAAAAAAGTTTATACAATTCACTGTCTTGTGCAACCAAGAATTCCAAGAAAGAAGCCACTTCAGGCTGGCTAAATAGGGACTCCAAAGACATAATCCATATTAGAATCTATATCCCTTTATTTCTAGTTTTGTTTTTTCCTAGGTTTTGACTTTCTCTGTATTGACCTCATTCTCAGTCATTTCAAAGTGGCAAAGATGGTTACAGCGTTTGTGGGCCTGTAATGATTTCATGGCAGGGATCCCATAGAAGAAAGAGCCTTCTCTTCCAGTAGTTTCAACAAGAGTTCCAAAGCTGACTCCTGGTGGTTTGGCTTTGTCACATGTCATCCTTGTTCTACTTACCAATCCAGGAAGATGGACTAGTCTCCTTGACCAGGCTAGGTTATATGCCCCATGTTGAAGGTGGTATGAGGCTGTCAGATTCCATTTGGACAGCGAAGGTCTCTCCTTTTTCAAAGGAGCTTGAAGGACCTATTGCCAAGAGAAGAATGGATGCCAGTACAGAAAGTTGTTGATTGAAGATAATTTACATCATTTTTGGATAGTTAGTTAAGTAGGAAATGAGAGTAATGTATTAGAACTTGTTAAATGGCTTGATGAAATTATGTATTAAACAGCGTGTCTGTCATAGCCAAGGATGTAAAGATGTTCCTTGAGGGAATATAACATGAGTTCAGCTGAGCAAGTAGACTGAAGGCATCCTGGTTGTATTAACCTATAGGGCAGATTATTGTGGTTTATTTTGTACCTAGTCATTTTGACTAGGAATTATTCAGAATGAGAGGTGTAACTATTTTATGAATAACAGAACATCTCTTCACTTGAAACTGGCTTAAACCATTTTTTTATTGAAAAACTAACCAAATACATGGGCTAAAAATTAAAATAGTATACAAACAAGGAATGAAATCATTCCCTCTTAATCCCTTTTCGCAGTTTCCCAGTACCCTCCCCGAGGCAGAAAATATTGCCGGTGATTTGGGTATCTTTCTGGATATATTCTATGCATATTCAAGGATCTCTAAACCTGTATTTTGTAGGCTTTATTTTGTAGAGCAACTTTCAGGTCACAACAAAATGAAGCAGAAGGCAGAAAGATTTCCCATATACCCTCCATCATGCATAACCTCTCCCATTATCAACATCCCTCACCAGCATGGTATATTTGTTATAATCAGTGAACCTACAATGTTTCATTTCACCCAAAGCTTACATTAGGGTGTGCTCTTTGAGCTGTATGTTCTGTGGTTTTGGATAAATACATCATGAAAGCTCTCCACCATTATAATATTGTATTGAATAGTTTCATTGCCCTAAAAATCCTTTGCCTGTTCACGACTCCATTCTCCCTAAGGCTTTTTTTTTTTTTTTTTTTTTTTTTAAGATTTTGTTTATTTGACAGAGAGAGACACAGCAAGAGAGGGAACACAAGCAGGGGGAATGGGAGAAGCAGGCTTCCCGCCGAGCAGGGAGCCCGATGTGGGGCTCGATCCCAGGACCCTTGGGATCACAACCTGAGCCGAAGGCATACAGTTAACAACTGAGCCACCCAGGCGCCCCCAACCACTTATCTTTTTACTGGTTCCATAGCTTTGCCTATTCCAGAAAGTTGTATCGTTGGAATCATATAGTATGTAGTTTTTTGATTGGATTCTTCTACATAGTAATATGCATTTTAAGTTTCCTTATATCTTTTTGTTACTTCATAACTCATTTGTTTTTACTGCTGAATAATATTCCATTGTCTGAATTATGACATACATCCACTCATCTATGGAAGGATATCTTGGTTTCTCCCAAGTTTTGGAATATGTTTAGTTTTGCAAGAAACTGCCAAACTTTCCTTTCACACTATCTTGTATCATTTTGCATTTGTTCCATCTTTCATTTCCACTAGCAATCCAAGTTCCTGTTGCTGCACATCCTCACCAGCATTGGATGTTGTCAGTGTTCAGGATTTCAGCCATTCTAGTACTTGTATAGTATCTCATTGCTCTAATTTGCATTTCCCTGATGACATATGATGTGGAGCATGTTTTCATATGTTTATTTGGCAAGGTTTGTCTGTGTATTTTCTTTGATGAGGTGCCTGTTAAGGTCTACAGTCTCTTTTTAAATCGGGTTATTAATGTCTTAAGGGTTCTTTGTATATTTTGGATAACAGTCCTTTATCAGGTATGTATTTATAAATATTTTCTCCCAATCTGTGACTTTTCATTTAGTTGACAGTATCTTTTGCAGAGTTTTAAATTTTTTTTTTTTTAAGATTTTTTTTTTTTTATTTGAGAGAGAGAGAATGAGAGAGCAAGCACATGAGAGGGGGGAGGGTCAGAGGGAGAAGCAGACTCCCTGCCAAGCAGGGAGCCCGATGCAGGACTCGATCCAGGACTCCAGGATCATGACCTGAGCCGAAGGCAGTCGCTTAACCAACTGAGCCACCCAGGCGCCCTGCAGAGTTTTAAATTTTGATGAAGGTCAGCTTATCAGTTCTTTCTTGCATGAATCATATATGTCACTGGTATTTTGTCTAAGAAGTCTTCACCATACCCAAGGACATCCAGGTTTTTCTCTTGTGTTCTCTTCTAGGTCTTAACAGTTTCTGTATTTTACATGGAGGTCTGTGGTCCATTTTGAGTTTATTTTTGTGAAGGGTGTTTGTTGCAAGAGCTGTGTCTAGGATCACTTTTTGCACGTGTATGTCCAGTTCCAGGACGATTTGTTGAAAAAACTATCTTTGTTCCATTGTATTGTCTTTGCTCCTTTGTCAAACATTGGTTGATTATATTTATATGGGTCTGTGTGTAGGCTCTCTTTTCTATCCTACATTGATCTATTTGTAATTTCTTAAGTGTTTGGTAGACTTCACCAGTGAGCCTTTCTGGACCTGGCACTTTCTGTTCTGGAAGGTTATCAGTTAATTGATTCATTTTCTTTAATACATAAAGATCTATTCAGATGTCCATTTCTACTTGTATGAGTCTGGCCAACTTTATCTTTCAAGGAAATGGTCCATTTTTTTAGGTTTTGGAAGTTGTGATAATAGAGTTCATAGTATTCTTTCCATCTTTTTACTGTCCATAGGATCTGTAGTGATGTACCCTCTTTCATTTCTGATATTAGTAATTTGTGTCTTCCTTTTTTTTTTTTTTTTTACTCAGTAAACTGGCTGGAGGCTTATCAACTTCATTGATCTTTTCAATGAACTAGCTTTTTGGGTTTTTTTTCTATTGATTTTCTGTTGTCAATTTCATTAATTCTGCTTTAATTTTTATTTTCTTATTCTTCAGATTTAATTACCATTTCATTTTCTAGTTTCCTAAATTAGAGGCTGTATGATTGATTTTCATAACTTTTTAATTTTGTAAATTTCCCTCTAAGCACTGCTTCAATTTTGAGAAGTACTATTTTATTTAATTCAAAATCTTTTTAAATTTCTCCTGAGAATTCTTCATTGATTCAGTGTTATTTAGTAGTGTATTTAATCTCAAAGTATTTGGGGATTTTACAGCTATCTTTGTTTTCTAAACTCAGTTGTAGGCTAAGAGCAGACACTATATGATTAATATACTTTTTAATTCGTAGAAATGTTTTCTGGCCCATGGTATGGACTGTCTTGGTGCATGTTCCATATGGGTATTCTGTCTGATGAAGCAGTCTGTGGATGTCAGTTATTTACAGTTGGTTAAAGGTGCTGTTTAGTTCAACCACTCTTACTGATTTTTTTTTTACCCACTGCATCTGTCCTATTCTGATAGAGGAGTGTAAAGTCTCCCAATAGGAATAGTGGGTCATTCTGTTTCTCCTTGCAGTACTATCACTTTTTGCCTCACATAGTTTCACCCTCTGTTAAGGGCATACACTTTAGGGGCTGTTATGCTTCACTGAAGAATTGGTGTTTCATGTAATGCCACTCTTTATCCCTGATCACTTTCCTAGCTCTGAAGTCTGCTCTGTCTGAAATACAGCTTGTCCACTGTTTTTGATTAGTATTAGCACAGAACATCTTTCTCCATGCATTTACTTTTCATCCCTGTCTTATATTGAAAGTGAATTTTTTTGCAGACAACACAGGTTTTGCCTTTTAGTATATCTTGTAACGTTTCCTTGATTGCCAGGCATTCTGTACTAGATAAAAGGAACTGCTCTAAATAGGCCGTTAGTGACTTGTTAAGTTGTGGAGGTGGGACAGGGATCATAGTCATATGGTTCTTGAAGGACTGTGATTTTAGGTCTCAGTCTTTTAGTGAGATTGTGCCTCTGGACTATGAACTATTCATGTACTTCATCTTCCTCCTCCCATTGGATAGGGAAGGGTGGTTAGGGTGGGTCTGATATAAGTATTTGCCTACCTCCTTATCAATTAGCCTCTGTTTAACTAGCTTGTCCTGAGGTCCAGTGTTGGTAGGAATAGAGTACTCCTTGTGTATGTCACAGTGGTTTCTCTTCCCTACTCTTCCTTTGGGATTTCTTTCCTAGATTTCCTGTAAGAAACTGGTTGAGCTACTATAGATAAAACTCAAAACAAAGTTGGGGGGGGAGGGTTCCTTATGAATGGGTCCCCTTGAAGTTTTTAACTCTCAGATTTATTCATCCTGAGCCTGCAATTTGTCAATAACAGTTCAGGTTTCCCTACCCTACTACTAGTTCCCATGGAATTTTTATCTCTTGGGTTTCTGCTCCTGTAAGTTGTGCTTGTCTACATTCAGATATCTCTCCAACATTAGGGATAGCACTTTGCCCTGTAACCTACTGCTATGAAGTATCTGGGAAAAATTCTTGATTTTTCAGTTGAGCTTTTTACTTTGTTCAGAGTAAGTGACTTCCAAACTTCTTCCATATTCTTCTTACATACAATTAGAAACTCTACCAGCTTTAAACATTAATTAGACATGCAGTACACATAGTTGTACAATTGAAATAGAGGGCCAATTCATGCTTTTATAAATAGGCTGATTTTGGGGAGGGGGGGGTTGTTTTTTAATTTTTTTAGATTTCTTAATTCATTTATTTGAGAAAGAGAGAGAGAGAGCACAAGCAGGGGGAGCAGCAGGCAGAGGGAGAAACAGGCTCCCTACGGAGCAAGGAGCCTGATGTGGGGCTCGAACCCAGGACCCTGGCATCATGACCTGAGCCCAAGGCAGATGCTTAACCGACTGAGCCACCCAGGCACCCCTAAATCGGCTGATTTTGAATCAATATTAAATTCTCTGCCTCAGTACCCTCCTTCGTATAACAAGATGAATTAGTTTTCTTTTGCCTTTGGCCAACATTTCCCCATAAACCCCACCACCCAGCCCCTGATATACCACTATTCTACTGTTTCTGAGTTCATCTTTTGTAGATTTTACATAGAAGTGGGATGATATGGTATTTGTCTTTCTCTGTCCAGCTTCTCTTAGGACTATGCCCTCAAGGTTCATCTACTGTCACAAATGGCAAGATTTCCACTTAAAAAACAAAAGGTTTTGGTAGCAGTGGAAGAAATAGGGAAGGAGAATGTCCCAGAAAAGTGAAGAGAAGTTAGCCTGTGAAGGAACCCACATATGGCTAGAGCATATAGGCTTAGTGGGAGAGTGAGATGATAGGGTGACAAATCAGAATAATGAGGGCTTTTATGGCATCCTAAGGAATGTGGTCATTGTTCCTCATTTCCTGACTGGCAGTGACAATACTTAAAATACTGTCTCTCAAGTGAGGGGTCACATTTGAGTCAGAAAGATAATTCTGGGAGTGCCTGGCTGGCTCAGGTGGGAGAGCACCCAAGTTGATCTTAGGGTTGCGAGTTCGAGCCCCATACTGGGTGTGGAAATTACGTCCAACAAAAGGAAGGAGGGAGGGAGGGAGGGAGGGAGGGAGGGAGGGAGGAAGGACGGAATGAAGGAAGGAATGAAGAAAGGAAGGAAGGAAGGAAGGAAAATTCTGTAACTAGTATGGATTACAGACCTGTGAATGTCAGGGAGATGGGTCAAGGAAGTTACTAGTAGTAGTTACTGAGGTAAAAACGTGGAGATGACTTTAAAGTCCTGTGCATGGTAGCACAAGAGGGAAGGTATTACAAAGAGTAGCCACAGATTTTGCTGATTAGTGAGGGACAAAATAAGAACTCTAACACCTATGTTTTTGCAGTGGGTAGTTGAATAGGGACCTGGGATGGATGCTAGTGGCAGGGAGCTACATTAAGGTATTTTGGTCCATTGTATGATACAGTACAATATGTATGGTAGGAAGTTATCTGACTCATGAACTTCATTCTGTTGGCTTCTAACCTTTGCAGACAGTGTTGAAGTCCAAGCTGAGACTTGTCTGCTTCCTTTCTATAAAGAAAGAAACCCATATATTTTTATGTATAAATACATTAGGCCAGGCCCAAGAGGCATTATGATGCAGTCTTAAACAGTGAAATTGAGTTCATAAGATCAACCTCAATATTGAGTAAACTGCCTGATGAACATTGATCTGAATATAATTATTGCTTTTATATGCAAGGTAGAAGTTTTAACTTCATTTGTCAGTTGTATAAATCTGTCTTGCAAAATTAAATGCCTTTCCCCATGTGAATATGTATGACAGTAATGTTTCAATGTTTCTGGCATTATTGGCACCATTGTCCTGTTTACCCCTAAAGAGAAGAAAATGGGAGATGTGTGTGTGTGTGTGTGTGTGTGAATGAATAGTGCTGAATGAACAGGTTTAGAAAGGCCTGTACGTACAAAGAATTTTGCTCTATCAGAGCTGACACAATTATTCTTTCCTCAGCCACAACAATCCTGAATTATGCTTGGTGGGTGCTAGGTCTCTCTGAAAAAGTCACTACTAAGTAGGGGTGATTCATAATATGCTGACTATCTGATGGCCTGGCAACCAACCCATCAGAGAGATGCTTGCTCTTGTGGTGAAGGAGGATTCTGGAGGTCCCACCGTTCAGATCCTGAGGATATCCAGGGAGAAGTGGGGGCCAGTAGCTACCAACTGGCATGCAAGAAACTGCATATTTTACCAATCGGTGTGGCCACGTGACTGCGTACTGGCTGAATGTTGTGACTGGCTGCGGGAGACCGAGTGGCTGACTACTGTGTTCTCTTCCTAGGTTTCAGAAATGGAAGTCTGTATTTTCCATATTCAGTGGTACTCAGTGAGTCTCCTGGCTTCCTCATCCCTCAGTCCCCGTTGCCCACTGCGCTTAACCGAAGACCTGTGTTCTGTAACACAGCACAGTTCCGTCAGTGTAGTGGCTATGGAAAGAAAACGAAGACGAAAGAGACTCAGACTGAACCTCATCAGGCTGAAAACAGGACTCAGAAACAAGACACCCACTCAGAAGGTGGTATGGTGACCAGTATCCCGACTTCTAATATTGACACAGAAACTGACAACATTCCTGAACCAACAGATGGGTTTTTTTCATCTGTAGCCCAGAAGCAGCAGCTACATGGTGAGAGCCCTTCTCCTGACACTGTGTATAGAACATCACCTCAAGTAAACTATGCATCTGGGAAAGGGGAAATGAGGCTAGAACAGAGCAGAGGATCCCCTGTAACACAGTTCTGGGAGACTTTGAAGGAAACTGTCCGTTTGTATGACCTAGCTTATGGTAAAGCCATGCCAGACATCATGGTGCAGCATGGTGGGATGTCACAGAGTTCTCATGAGAGTACAAGTGTGCTTCGTAACCGTCACGAGGGTGCAGATGGCATTACGAGTAACGATGAAGAAAGCACTATCTGGTCGGAGCCGTGTCATGATGTAAGATGTGATGAGGTGGTAAAGTTGGGCTCCATCATGGACATGAACTTGGGTAAAGAAAAAGGCTATGCAGCTGTTCCCCAATTCCTGTCCTCTCCAGATGAAGCGAAAGACAAAGATAAAGTCCAGGATACCCTGATCTCCAATCTGTGCCAGTCTTCTGGAGATGGCAATAAGCTCCAGCAGGAAAGGCCAGTCTGTTCCAGCAATAAAGCCGTTGAGGACCTGAGCCTAGAGTCCAAATCCCGGAGTCCCATTAGCTTTGGGGAAAGCATGCCAGACAATGGTAGTGGGGGCCGTGGCTTCCCTGTGAAAGTGGACGAAGGTGAAGTGGTAGAGAGCAACAGCTACGCCGAGAATTATGTCCTTCCCCCTACCTCCCTGGCCCAGTTCAGCCAGGTCACTGAAGGCATTCAATGTGATATGAGCCATTGGCAGGATGCAGAGCACGGGAAATCCCCTGAGTCCTCACCAGAAAGCAGAAAGCCAACAGAAGAAGAGGCAGTCAGGTGTGGGGAACTGGATGAGGTGGTAGAGAGGGACAGCTATTCAAAGTATGTTCCTCGCCCTGCCTGGTTGGCCCAGATGAACAGCAGGGGGGTGGATGAAGGGATTCAGTGTGATAGGAGCTGGTGGCAGCATACAGAGCTGGAGAAATCCCCTGAGCAAATGCCTTGCAAAGATGAAGAATCATCACCAGACTGCAAAACTAAGGGATCATGGAAGACCATCACGAATGGGAAGTTGGAAACAGATGAAGAAGAAATGACCGTGAATGATGAGATTGAGGAGGATCATGAGAACTTCAAAAAGTGTGCAAAGATTAAAAAAACTGTGAAAGGCAGGAAGCAGAAATCCCTGAGCAACTTCTCAAGTGGGAACACAGTCTACTTATTGAAGAAAAATGCTGCCTTGAACACTGTACTTCCCAAGGATTCAGAAGACTGTGAGTTGGAAGAGGAAGCTGAAGATGAAATGTATGAGACAGAATGCCTCTTTGAAGAAGTTAGTCCACTGGGCCCTGTGACATCTTCCAAAGGAAGGATTTATCGTGAGGCTGGCAGGATCATCAGGCTGCCACCTGAGTGCTCTCTGCCTCCCCAACTTATTGTGTGGCCCACCAGAAATAAGTACAGGTTAAAGCTTGAAGAATACGAGAGCATCCCCATGGTATGCGCAGTGACAGGACAGAATGGCAGGTTCCGAGGGGAGGGACTGGAGTCCAAGAGAGCCTCTCACAAGGCCTGGGAATGTAAGTGACTAACTGGCTTGTCCTGTGTGGTTGTCTGTGGTGGTTCCATACTGGGTCCTGGATGCAAAGGCCATCATAGATCAATAGTATTTCTCCATTTTGAAAGTATGTTTTTCAACAACTGTAGGTGCCCATGTTTGTAGGATTGGCAGAGATCCCAGGTTTGAGGTCCTGCATTCTAGGAAACTGTAATATAATTTGAAACAAAGAGCTGTAGGAGATGATGGAGAGCTGGGTGGTGGTAAAGGACAGGGGGGCTGAGAGAGAAAAGAATCATGGACACAGATCTAGATGGAGTTCCTGAGAACACGCAGTCCATGTGGAGGCGGTGAATTTTGATACAAATTTGGGGGCTGTGGTTTGGAGTGAGAATGGAGAGTAGCATGGGCTCAAATGGGCAGCCAGGGCAGGTCAAGTGTGTTCCAGGGATTGAGCCTGAGAACAGCCAGCCAGAGGGGAGACCTGTGATGAGTTGGGAAAGTGGGTCTGAGCAGAAGAGGCTAAAATATTGGAAATCTTCCTTTTTAGATTTTTGTCCTGTAGGCAATAAGGAGGTGCCAAAAGAAAACTGAATAGAGAAAGGCAGGAAGAAATGTGTACTAGGCATCTTCAGCTAGCAGTACAGTGTAGGAAGAATTTGAAGCCTGTCTGTATGGATGAAATCCCTGTATAAAGTCAGTTTAATTGAACATTGGATATAAAGTGATGAGGGTCCTAACTCACATGGGAGTAAAAGATACGCATCTCAGAGAATCCATTAACAAAATTGACTCTTTAAGAAAAAAAAGGCTGGGGTTTGAACTTGAATACCTAGAGAAAATGATAACATCCATGGAAAAGTAAACTTGGGAAGGGAAATTGTTTTTGCTTTACTGTGTGGTTGTCAGTGGGAGGACTGGACTAACAGGTCATGTACACCTGGTTGAAGCTTGAGTTTGGACCACCCTATGTTTAGGGAGGGGGCTCAAATGAGTTGGATGGACCCAGAGTACAGCCCAGGGGAAGATTAGACCTGGGGTGCAAAAATGAAATGAAGCGGGTAAGTGATAATGGGATGCATAACGACCCCGTAATTAAGTTCCAGTCTTAGTTTCTAAACCAAAACACTGTCCATCTTACCTTTAGTCTTCTCAAAGTCTCATTTGCCTCTGCTGTCATTTCCCATCAGTGTGTAGGAATCAGTTTTTTCCACCCTATCACAGCCCTGTGAAGAAGATAACTTTAATTTACTCTTGGTTACACAGTTAAGATGATAATTTTCAGGCCGAATTGTCTCACTGTGTCCATTATTTTTATTTTTATTTTTTTCTGCCAAGGACTGTAGAATGATACAGAATAGTATCTCGAACAAGAGATTTTTTTCATGAAGGGTGTGTTCTTGCTTTGTTTTTCCCTTTGGTTTTTAAGTAACTTGGGTTATTTAACGTATGAATCACTTCTTCCGTCAGGTAACTGTGAGAGATGGAAAACCAAGGTACCTTACAAAGTTTCAAACAGATTCAGGGCAGATGCTGTAAAGTTTAGGAAATAGACAGCAGGTACAGAGGTTGGTATCTACCCTGTGTCCAATTTGGGTGTCTCAGCTTTTAGGGCTTTGTTTGGGGTTTCCTACTCTGTGTGTGTTCTGCCCTCCAGAACTAACACTGCTTGTGGGCAGTGAAAAATGGCAGCATTCTGACTGCGTTATAGATCTGTAGATCTATAGATCCCCGCTTACAAGTAGATTGGAGCCAAAGCCTTTCAGTCCTTTGGAATGTCATTTTTATGCTGATTTTCCACATTTAATTCCCAGGGCTGTTAATGGTAGTCTGTTGTGGGTTATATGGGATTTTGTGACTTATCCTGGTGGCTTATCAAAGTGTCCCAGTTTAGGGGTGCCTGGGTGGCTCAGTCGTTAAGCGTCTGCCTTCGGCTCAGGTCATGATCTCAGGGTCCTGGGATCGAGCCCCACATTGGGCTCCCTGCTAGGCGGGAAGCCTGCTTCTCCCTCTCCCCCTGCTTGTGTTCCCGCTCTTGCTGTGTCTCTGTCAAATAAATAAAATATTAAAAAAAAAAAAAAAAGTATCCCAGTTTAGAGCTGGGAGAGCTGGGTACTGGAAGTTCAGGGTCTCCCTTAAGGGGCTTAGTAGCATGACAGGCTTCTCTTCACACTGAGTCTTGGGGTTGAGTATCCCTGCCACACCTACAACCCCCTAGGCCTGGGGTGTCAGGGAGCAAGTGGTTTTTGGCCCTTTCAAGGCCATTCTGCCCTATAGTGGTCATAAGAAAAGACAGATAATCATGCTCAGACAAAATGTTAAGACCTTTAACTTTATCCTAAAGATGAAAGCTAAAGATATTAGTCATGATTCTCTGTATATCTTCAGTTTGTTATACAGCTAATTTAAGGAACTCTTTTATTCTATTGTTATTTCACAGGAAACAAATTGCTGTGTTCCAGCTACATAGAAGAGCTAAAAATAGTACATCGTCATGGTGGCTTAGAACACAGGATCATCCCTTGATTTGAACTAAGAAAGCGATTATACCAACAAAAAGAAAATGTGACATTGTAAAGCCTTTGGAATTAAAAGAACTAAAACAGCAAATAAATTGAATTGCATAAGTGTGTGATTCTCAAGCATTTTCTTCCCCTCTCAAAATGGCCACATCACTGGTAACACCACCAAAAGAATTGGGTCATTCATGAATACTTCTGCCAGATGTATTACTGTCTTGTAATCTCCAGGGGACCTTTAGATATGGGGAAAAGGATGGTGAATTGAGGACAGAATAAAGAGATGAAGGATTCTCCATAAACAGGAACTACCCTGATAGAGATGGTACCTTATTTATTTTTTTATAAATGGAAATGAGGCTTATAGTAGCTCCACTGATTGGTATGTCCATTTGTGGGTTGTAGTATATTTTACTTACTTCCAGTGTACACTCATAGAAACAAGGGAGACAAGAGCTCCTTATACTCAGAACCTACAATCTATATGGTTAATTTGTGGAACCAGTGTTTTCCCAATAAATGGTACAGGTTAAGTCTGTGACCAGGTGCCAAATGTTTATATGTGGATGAAGGCTGTTTAAGGCTATTTGTAAGAACAGGGCAGATGTGGAAAGGCTAGGGTTGCTTCCTGGAAGGGCTTTCTGGGTGATCGTATGAACAATATTTTGATAGCTATGGATGGGTTCACTTAGTGTTGCTTCTGAGTTGCCCAGTGATGAGTTACCTATATTTGTTTACTCTATTTTTATATTTTTTAACTGTATTTTTAACTTCCTGTGGTAATAAAGTTAACTCTCCAGATGGGTTAAGGAGATGGTACAAAGTGATGGCACTGTACGTTTTCGGATGAGATGCAAAAAGTTAAGCAAAAGGTAATAGGGTTTCTAAAGCTGGTTTTATGATAAGGTTTGTGACTTATCTCCCTCCTAACCCCTACCTAAAAGATCGGGTAGATAATCTAGGAAAACATCTGTGATGCCTATCCCCATCCATGGCTGGAGTATGGGACTCTCCTGTGTGTTTTAGTAACACCTGCATTTTCACTTTCGTAGCCCATGACATGACATGACGTAACAGGAGACTTACAACGTTTTCACCCTTGAGACCATGTATTCCTTAGGGCTATAGTAGCTCCATGGAATAGTTAGTATAGAGCCTAGCACATCATATGCACTCAAATATTTGTGAATGAATGGCTTGGTGTCAATTCAGATGAACAGTTTTGGCCTTGTCACTATTCCCACCATCATTCCAAGCCTAGAACATAATTGAAGTGGGAAGGCTGAGGTAGGAATGCATTAGCTGGAGTAACTGAACAATAAGGAAGACTTGAATCCATATAATCCAACTTCCTTGCTTATCTGGGAACCAGGAAGGCATTCCACTACTCTAACTCCCCACTAACAAGTCTGATTCATTCAAATTCCAACAATCTGATTCATTTACCTATAAATCCCCATGAGAAGATTAAAGAGTGTGGCTTTTCATTATTGTGTTAGTATGAGTTGAATCTGATCGCTTTTTTTACACCTGTGAAATGAGTTTCAAGTGTTGTGGGTGAACTAACTCAAGGCACTTAAATGGACCATAACTGGGGCTTTCTGGCTACCGGGAAGATGTTGGACCCTAGAAGGTGGGGAAGATGGTAATGCCGGTATATGGAAGAGCAAGCACAAAAAGAGGACTGGTCCAATGAACACTGTGCCTGCTTTGTAATCCTTCCCAAAGTCTTACTTTTATTCTAGAGGCTAGATAAGAAGTCAAGCATAAGTTTGGAAATAAGTCCAAGATGAAGGGTACATCCCAACAACACCTTCCCTTTCATTTTGCCAAGCAGTTATTGTACCCCCTGGCACACTGAGTTCTTCAGGGTCAGACTCTGACATGAAGATTTGTGTGCAGGAAATTTAGTGGGGAGTGCTACAGGGAATAAAATCTCTGAAGGGGCAAAGAAAGCATGATTAAGCATAGGGAAGAGGTATGGATGTGATGCAGTAACAACAAAGACCTTAGCCAAAATCCCACCAGGAGCTCCTGAGCTGCAATGATCCTGAAGAATTGTCTCAACTGGGGTAAGAGGCCACGCCTTACACCCCTGCACCCTTTGAAAAGGTCAACTGTGTATTATAATCTAATCATGGGAGTAAAATCCATTATAGTAACAGTTCTACAGATTCGGACAAAAGTCTTAGAGGCTATTTTATAACTCTGCCTACCACAACCACAGTGACAGGTTGATAAGATACCTTGGTAGAAGGAGGTCTGGTGACTTCTCTTCCTTTCCTAAATAGGACTGGAGAGTACTCAGTCTGAAAGAGATTTTAGGATAAAGAACTTTGATCAGCTTTATAGGCTCAGCGGTCTGGGAGTTGGAGCAGAGGAGGAAGAGGTTAGTTTGAGGTTCTTCTGGGTAAACTGGGCAAAAGGACTACAGGTCAAGTGATATGACAGACTGAAATAAAGGACCACGGAACCTAGGCCAGACAGTAGACAGAGAAACCTGGAGTGAGAGAGAAGAGACAAGAATTAACTTGCAAGGGTTGCAGTGGATGACAGGATTTTTCTTTCTTTTTTTTAAAGATTTTATTTATTTGAGAGAGAGTGAGTGAGAGAGAGCATGAGCAGGGGAGAGGGAGAGGGAGAAGGAGGCTCCCCACTAAGCAGGGAGCCTGATGAGGGACTTGATCCCAGAACCCTGAGATCATGAGCTGAGCCGAAGGCAGACACTTAACCGACTGAGCCACCCAGGCACTCCACAAGATGTCAATTAAAGCAGAAAGTGGAGGAAGGCTTCAGGAAGAGGTTTAACATTTAGAGCAGTGGTTCTCCAAGACTGGCCCCCAGACCAACAGTGTCAGCATCATTTGGACAGTTGTCACAACTGCAAATTCTCCAGTCCACTCCAGACCTAGTAAATTGAATTCTAAAATTCTAGGAGTTAAGACACAGCAATCTGTTTTAACAACCACCCCAGGTGATTTTGTTGCTCCGTAAGTTTGAGAATCATCTGTATTATTCTTGCATATTGTCATTGAACAAAGCTTTCCTGCCTGAAATCAGCCGCTGTCCAGAGCTAGTGCCTGGGAAAGTACAACTCACCCTCCTGGGATCACATCTTTGCTGGAAGGCAGGTGAAAATTCACACACGTGACACCAAATACCCTGCTCTCTAGGCGGCTCTCTCCTAGTCCTCCCCGATTCCACATCCTCTGGTCTTTGGCCACAGTGTCTGATTTGGGAGAAGAGAATGTTGAACAAGTCAAGTTGTTGTCAGTCCGAGTCTGAACTCTCATTCGACTTGGAAGACTTATACTTTCGTTTCTTCTTCTTTTCTTTCTTCCTTTTCTTATGCTTTTCTTTCTTCTTTTTCTTGTGCTTCTCTTTACATTCCGAGGAACTGGAGCTGCTCCCATTCTCATCGGATATAGAATCCTCCAGTAACTGTTTCAACTGCTGTATCCTAAACATAGAAGATTAACCAAAGAACCGTATTTAACTCGAAAAAAAGGTAGATAAAAATGATATAAAAGCAGCAGTGAGCGTAAAAAACATCATAAACACCTTACTACAGACAGTACTTATTTTTATTTCTGCATGTTTTCCCCATTCTTGTCCACACCCATGCCTTTGACAGGACTGTACCCAGTGTACAAGCCATTCTGTATTCTTTTCACTGTCTGAAGTATTTCTGCATGTTTCTCCAGTCCTTACTACATAACTTCGAATAGATGCTGCCTCTCCTTCATCACCTCCCCAACCACCCACAACCACTCAAGTTCATACTAGGTAATCTACCTCCTTAACAATTAGAACTCCGTGGAACCAGTTTGAGAAAAACAAAACCTCCTCTTTCTTCATTCTATCTTTATTCATGTCTAAGGATAATTTTTAAGAATAGCTCAGATCCATAAAGACACTGGAGAAAATAAACTAAGTTACACTTGCCAACATCAACTATCAGTGGTGTGAGCAGGAAGGACCAAGCCCACTGCTAACCCAAGTGGAATGAGGCTGGCCTGCCACCCACTGGACTTTCCTGTGAGGACTCCTGCCTTCCAAACAGTTCACAATTGAAGTACCATAGTTACCAAACCACTCATCTATACTGGAATGGGTGTTTCCAACTTTATATAATTTCAGACTTTAAAAGGGTATCGTTATCACCAGGACCATCTCACCTTACATCCTTTTCATGTCTTTTATTCTCTCGTATGATGTCATACATGGGATCTTCATGTGCCTTGAGAATGAGAAAAGGTTAAGGTTGTGTTAGGCTCCACGGACTATCAGTTAAATAAAAATTAAATCCATATTTCACTGAAACCAGTTTTTTTTTCCTATTTGGTATAATTTCATATTTAACATGTTCTAATCCTTCCTAAGGGTTACCATCACTGCAAACCCATTGAGGCTGTAACAAAGGATTTTCTTTTTTTTTTTTTTTTTAAGATTTTATTTATTTATTTGACAGAGAGAGACACAGCGAGAGAGGGAACACAAGCAGGGGGAGTGGGAAAGGGAGAAGCAGGCTTCCCGCCGAGCAGGGAGCCCAATGCGGGACTCGATCCCAGGACCCTGGGATCATGGCCTGAGCCGAAGGCAGTCACTTAACAACTGAGCCACCCAGGTGCCCCAAAGGATTTTCTAATTAGAAAAATATAGATTATAATTTAAATATCCTTTGTAAGAAAAAAACCATGGCAGAATCATGAAATACTATTCAAGGTAGAAATATTGAGGTAATTTTCTTTGTTCTATTTGGAAGGATGACCAAGAGACAGTATTAAGAAAAACAAGTGGGGGTGCGCCTGGGTGGCTCAGTGGTTAAGTGTCTGCCTTTGGCTCAGGTCATGATCCCAGGGCCCTGGGATTGAGCCCCACATCGGGCTCCCTGCTCAGCAGGAAACCTGCTTCTCCCTCTCCCGCTCCCCCGCTTGTGTTCCCTCTCTCGCTGTGTCTCTCTCTGTTAAATAAATGAATTTTAAAAATCTTAAAAAAAAAAAGAAAAACAAGTGGGGTACCTGGGGGGGCTCAGCTGGTTAAGTGTCCACCTCTAGATCTCAGCTCAGGTCTTGATCTCAAGGTTTTGAGTTCAAGCCCCGGAAAACAAACAAAAACCTACTGGGACACTTGGGTGGCTCAATCAGTTGGGTGTCCAACTCTTGGTTTCCACTCAGGTCATGATCTCATGGGTTCTGAGACTGAGCCCCACATTGAGCTCCGCACTCAGCAGGGAGTCTGCTTGAAGATTCTCTCCCTGTCCCTCCCCCAACTTGTGTGCACATGCACACACACTCTCTTTCTCTCTCTCTCTCGAAAATAAATAAATCTTTAAAAAAGCCCTATTACCTCCCTACCCGGGGATAATTACTATTAACATTTGATCTCTTTCTTTCAATCATTATTAGTAATTTATGAAAAACTATAATCCTCCTATACACAACTCTATTGTTTTTCACTTATGTCTTTGTGAACATTTTCCCATGACATTAGGTCTTTCTTTTTTTTTTAAGATTTTATTTATTTGAGAGAGAGCAAGAGAGAGCATGAGCGGGGTGAAGGGCGGAGGGAGTAGCAGACTCCCCACTGAGCAGGGAGCCCGATGCGGGACTTGATCCCGGGACTCCAGGATCATGACCTGAGCCCAAGGCAGATGCTTAACCAACTGAGCCACCCAGGCGCCTGACATGTCTTCTAACACATAATTCCTGGGGTGCCTGGCTGGCTCAGTCAGTACAGCATGAGACTCCTGATCTCAGGGTTTTGAGTTCAAGCCCCTTGTTGGGTGTAGAGATTACTTAAAAATAAAATCTCAAAAAATATAAATAATAATTTCTAATGACTAAATAATTTGCATGCTACAGAAATTTATGTTGATATGTTGGACTATTGAGTTTCCCATTTTTCTTTAGTTTCCATTGTTTCTGGATATAAGAGTTATCCTTACATATACATATCCTTATTCATAAATAACTGTATATATATTGATGTTCTCTTATATCCTTAAATTCCTTAAGTGGGATTTCTGAGCCAAAAAAAAATGAATTATCTTCAAACTTTTTGAGATTTATCACCAAACTATATTTTATATAATATCTGTAAAAACTGACATTCCACCTAGAAGTGGAATGAGTGATCAAAAATATTAATTCAGATTATTAAAATAAAGCTGCAATGTTTTAAATGTCTTTTTTAAAAAAGATTTTATTTATTTATTTGAGAGAGAGGGAGCATGAGCAGGGGGAGAGGCAGAAGGAGAGGGAGAAGCAGACTTCCCGCTGAGCAGGGAGCTGGGTGTGGGGCTCAATCCCAGGACCCTGGGATCATGACCTGGGCCGAAGGCATACGCTTAATGGACTGAAACACCCAGGCACCCCACAATGTTTTAAATGTCTTAAAACCTTTAGTGAATGTTGGCCCCAGTTTGATATATGCTGATAACCTCAGTACATCTAGACAGTGGCATATTTCACTTGGCAGAAGTTACTGAGTGATAAATTAACACCTTTAGGAGAAGACTCTATTAAAATAGAGTGAGGGAATGATATATCTATTTTACTATCGACTGAAGACCACATATAATTTATATACATATCTCTAGCTTATAATTTAAAGACAGTCTTTATTTTTTTTAATCTTTTTTTTTTTTAAAGATTTATTTATTTATTTGAGAGAGCGAGAATGAGAGAGAGTACATGAGAGGGGGGAGGGTCAGAGGGAGAAGCAGACTCCCTGCCGAGCAGGGAGCCCGATGCGGGACTCGATCCCGGGACTCCAGGATCATGACCTGAGCCGAAGGCAGTTGCCCAACCAACTGAGCCACCCAGGCGCCCTAAAGACAGTCTTTAAAGACTGGGAAACTGGGGTGCCTAGGTGGCGCTCTGCGGGAAGCCTGCTTCTCCCTCTCCCACTCCCCCCTGCTTGTGTTCCCTCTCTTGCTGTGTCTATGTCAAATAAATAAATAAAATCTTTTAAAAATAAATAAATAAAAAAATAAAGACTGGGAAACTAAAACCCTAATTTTAGTTATGAAACATGATTTTTTATATAAGTTAAAATAAGTGATTGAATAAATAACAAACTCTGCTTTAGAAAAAGAATCATTATTCCCAAGGTATAAACAAAGAACACTTTAATAAAAAGTTAGTTTTTTGTTAACTGTCACACAAATGTAATTTAAGAAGAGATGTAGTCAACACCAGATACTCTGGCCAAAAAACTTCTGGGAATGTATTTTATGTGAACTTTCAGTTCACTGATTACTGCCTGTTTCATTAATATTCACTATTTCTGAAAAATGTAAATTGGCAAGGTGGGGTTCTACTTACTACTCTGAACTGTTCTAACTTTTGGTTGCCTTTGATAAAAAAAGGACATTCTTTGTCGCCTGTTCGGTGACCATACCGTTTACAACGCCAACCTAAAAACAAAGAAAAAAGGAAATATCTCTGTAAGATAACAATTTCATTTAACGAAGATGAAGAATCCGTAGATCATACTAAAGTTTTTCTTCATTAAACTCCAATTCTAAAAGCAAATGCAATGAGTGGATAAACCATGTAAGATCCTAGAAAATAAAGGGAAACTAACTGCTTCCCCAAGCAATAGGTATTAAGCAATCCAATGTAAAAGTACTATAAAGAGTGAAATTGTTTTTAGGCTGTAGCTTATTGTATTTTTCAAAGAGGAGGTCTCTTCTATTCATCAAGAGACTGTGATTCTCATTTACAATTTTAGACACTAGAGCAAATAGCTTCTTTCTTTGATTGAGTCAACTACTGCAAAAAATCCCTCACCTCTAATTAAAACAAATCACAAATTATCTTAAAATGTTAATTCTATTAGCACTCTAAAATAGCCTCACCTGCTCAGTAGGGAAACTGTCCTTTGTAAAAAGGTTTATTATTAGCAGCAGACGGCCCTGATGAGGAACTGGGAGGAGACATAACAGGAAAATGCATACACAGATTCCAGGGCAAAAGAGGGAAACATGCACCTTCGTGGAATTTCAGTGACCCACAGACTTGGCATCAGGTGCTGACGTGGGAAAAATGAAGTGATGAACAAAGCAGGAATGGGTGAGACCCTAGTCACTTCTCTCACCTGCTTTCGTCCTCTCAGAACCATTTGGATTTGAGGGAAATCAGGAAGTCAAATGAGTGGTGAGCTAAGTAAGACCCTGTGCTTGAACATTAAGGAACTCCAACCAAGAAAGTCAGGAAGCAGGAAGAGTGGGTAAGATCAGCCAGGATTGCCCCATGCTGGCAGCTACTCAAAGTATGAAGTGAAAGAGAAGGGATGCTTTCCTTTTTAATTTTGAGGGTTGGATGCAGGAAACCACTGAAAAAGAATGAAGTTTGGAGATTCTTTATTGACTGCCTCTGAGCTGTCCCTGTCTTGAACTCCCCAAACATTTAAAGTTCAGGAAAGAAGGATTATACTCCTTCAAACCAAAATTCTTTGTGTTCAAAATTCTGTTACCGTTAAAGGAAAGGTGATTCTTGCTATTCAAAGTATGGTCATGGGCAAGCAAAATCAGCAACACATGGGAGATTGTTAGAAATGCATAGTGTTAGACCCATTGCAGAAATACTGAAACATACCAAAATTTTAAAAGATTAATTGGTGATTTATAAACATATTAAAGTTTGGAACCACTGTTCTAGATAACACTACAATCAATAAAATCAATGAAAGGATGTACATGTGTCTTTTATCCCATTTGGGATGAGTCAAAATTTTGTGGAGCCTGAGTTTAAATTGTGGGGGTGGGGGGCTCTTTAGGAAAAAAAAAAAATATTTTGCCTTGGCAAATTTCACAAAATCATATGACCATTATCAACACATCATTGTTTCCCCTGCAGGCCCTTGAAAATCATGAGTAAAACTGGCTCTGGTCCCAACCCAGACACTTATTTTCCAAGTCAATGCAAATAACTATAAAATGGTAATTGAAATGGGGGCACTTGGGTGGCACAGTCTGTTAAGCGTCCAACCCCTGGTTTTGGCTCAGGTCATGAACTCATGGGTCATGAGATCAATCCCCAGGTAGGGCTCCAGGCTCAGCAGGTAGTCTGCTTCAAGAGTCTCTCCCTCTGCCTCTTCCCCAACTCAAGCATGCTCACTCCCATTCTCTAAAACAAATAAATGAATATTTTTTAAAAAATGGTAATTGAACTGTAAGTAACCACCTCATAAAACAGAGCAGTGGTCTTCAAACTTAAAAAAAAAAAGAAAAGCTGTAGACTTCTGAGTAAAGATGACAGACTACTAAACACATTTATTTGCTTTCATTCCCTTCCTGACATCCCATAAAAATGACAATGAAGAGGATTCTTTTCAAAAGGAATAAGCCAGGAAGCTCTTCAAGAATGGCCAAGTGGGGGTGCCTGGGTGGCTCAGTCGTTAAGCATCTGCCTTCAGCTCAGGTCATGATCCCAGTATACTGGGATCGAGCCCCACATCGGGCTCCCGCTCAGCGGGAAGTCTGTTTCTCCCTCTCCCACTCCCCCTGCTTGTGTTCCCTCTCTCGCTGTCAATCTCTCTGTCAAATAAATAAATAAAATCTTAAAAAAAAAAAAAAAAGAATGGCCAAGTGACAACCTTCATAAAAGCACTGAAAATAGTTGTAAACTTGCCCAAATTAACTTATTTGAAACTCTAGAAATTAACCAAAGGTTTGCCACAATCTGAAGAGCATTAATTCAAGAAAAGCTAGTGAAGCTTGGTAAGAACAGCAGGATTACTGGCATTTTAACCAGACCTACTCCCAGCCCTCTCTCCTGATTTCCATAATAATCTTAAAAACCAACAGCCTTGCAACCATGACAGCTATGAAAAGCAACAGTCCTGCAACCTCAATAGGGATAAGACCAGGTTTTGAGCCCCCCAAAAAACCCTAATCTCAGAGGATAGAGCCACACTGACAGGGTGTTGTTTCTGTGTAACCAGTCATATAGTTTACTTTACAAGAAAAGCCCAATCCCTCAGGATATTTGTTGAAAACAATCACCTGCAACTGTTTAACATCACAGTTGCCAATGACTGTGATATCATTGGATAAACAGGAGCCCAGCTAAAAATGTAAAAGATCCGGGGAATGAGATGTCCACAGAGGGCTTTCAAAAATTCTGACATAATCCTGGGAAGCTAGAAGGCTGTGCACATGTGCCCACATTTGTTATATTCTGTTTTTTTGATAGTAGCCATCTTAACTGGTCTGAGGTGGTATTTCACTGTAGATTTGATTTGTATTTCCCTAACGATTACTGACACTGAGAATCATTTCATGGGCTTACTGAATATCTATATATCTTCTTTAGAGAAATGTCTATTCAAGTCCTTTACCAAATTTTAATCAGGTTGTTTGTTTCTTCATTGTTTTTAGGAGTTCTCTATATATTCTAGATAGAATCCCTTATCAGGTATGATTTACAAATATTTTCTCCCATTCTGAAAGCTGCCTTTTTACTCTACTGATTTCTTATTCACAAAATTTTGAAATTTTCATGAAATCAAATTTGTCAATTTTTTTGTTGCCCATACCTTTGGTGTTTGATCCAAGAAATCACTGCCAAATCCAATTCTGTACAGCTTTGCCATATATTTCTTCTAAGAGATTTCATAGCTTTAGGTTAACATTTAAGTCTCTGACCCACTTAGAGTTAAATTTTGTATATGGTATTAAATAAAGGTCCAACTTCATTCTTTTGCATGGGGATATCTGGTTTTTTTTTTTTTTGAAGACTGTCCTTTCCCCATTTAATGGTCTTGGCTCTACCATAACAAGAGATTATAACAACAAAGAAGATGACTCAACATACAGGAAACAGGAGGTTCAACATAGGAAAGAAACTAAGGGAAACTGCAGAATGATTGTGTCTCAGTTCAGGGCCCCCCTAAAAAAATATAGACTGGGTCACTTACACAACAGGAATTTATTTTCTCACAGTGCTGGACACTGGAAATCTACGATCTGGGTGCCAACAGCGTTGTTTTCTGATGATTACTCTCCTGGCTGACAGACAGCTGTGTCCTCTCACAGTGTGTCCTCACACAGTGGAGAGAGAGCACGCTCTCGTCTCTTCTTAAAAGGAACTAATCACATCGTCAGAGCCACCCTCATTACTTCATCTAATCCTAATCACAGTCCAAAGACCCCATCTCCAAATATCATCCCATTGGATATTAGGGCTTCAACATATGAATTTGTTGAGGGACACAAACATTCAATTCAAAACACTAAGTGAAGGGAGATCCCTGGATGATAAGCATGGGAGCAACCATTTTCAGAGGATGAAATTAATAGAACGCCTCAAGCATTTGAAGGTCTTGGGGCACCTGGGTGGCTCAGTCGGTTAAGCATCTGCCTTTGGCTCGGGTTGTGATCCCGGGGTCCTGGGATCCAGCCCCACATCTGTCTCCTTGCTCAGCAGGGAGGCTGCTTCTCCCTCTCCCTCTGCAGCTCTCCCTGCTTGTGCTCTCTTTCTCTTTCTCTCTCTCTGTTAAATAAATAAAATATTTAATTTAAAAAAAGGCACTTGAAGGTCTTAAGATTCAGCCTTTGAACAATTTGAGGTTGAGTAAGAAATCAGTACGTGGAAACCAAAAACAATAACAACAGAACAAAACACACACACACACAAATACCAAAAACAAGACAACCATTAATCAGGGGAAAGGAGGGAACTCTTCAGGATGCATGAAAGGAAAAGTAATCAGTTTACTATATGACTCAGCTCTGTATATAATCATAATAAAATAAACATTAAAGACTTATCTAATCAAAATTATGAAAAAACATTTTGGGGGGGTGCCTGGGTGGCTCAGATGGTTAAGCGTCTGCCTTCGGCTCAGGTCATGATCTCAGGGTCCTGGGATCGAGTCCCGCATCGGGCTTCCTGCTCCTTGGGAGCCTGCTTCTCCCTCTGCCTCTCTCTCTCTGTCTCTGTCTCTCATGAATAAATAAATAAAATCTTTAAAAAAAAAAAAAAACATTTTGGGGAAGATGTGATATAGTAAGGGTACATGTGTGTGGTAGGACCAGGAGAGAGCTAAATTCTCCTCTTCCATTGTACAGTGTCAACAAATAACACCTAAACCTGAAAAATCAATACATGATCTTAGACATATGAAGATAAATATCAAAATAACCAAGTAAAAGAGCTGTAAGTGGAAATGGAGAAAAAAAGACTGGAACTATTTTAATTATGTGTATGAAGAATCTCTGTACAAACAGAAGCAGTATTTGAAGCAGTGCCCTTTCTTCAAATACTATCTTATGCTAGATGAAAAGTGTTGCGGCCGGGGTGGGGTGGGGATGTGCATGCACAGCACACCTGCTCTGGACCCACCCTCTGGACCCACAGCTCCTCCCAGGTTACATGGATGAAACCTTACCACCACTGATGGGGGGCGAATGATGCAGGACCCAAAGGGACCTGCCCTCCAATGCATTCCTTGTCCCTCATGGCATTTCTACAACGGAATATCCTTTTTGTTACTGAAATATTACCGAAGCGTGAACTCCAAAGGCAGCTATGGTCTCTGTGGATGACTCCTGCCTTTGGAGTCAGAAGCCCTGGAGTCAAAGCTCCTCTCTGCCTCTTACCTCCGACCACTCACTAACATATGCGGGTCAGCTTCCTTAACTATGAAACAGAGATTGTGCCTTGACTTAACAGGGCTGCGGTGAGAACAAATTAAAAAAAAAAGGAAGTAAACGCGCTTTGTAAATCGTGGTATATAACTTGCGTGTATGGAGGAGCGTTACTTGCGACTCTCCCGTGCTCACACTGCATAACTTTGACTTCTTTCCCCAGTGGCATCCAGAGTCCTTTCGTTGGTGCGTGAGCCAGAAATTCCCTGGCATGTTCGTTGCCTGGTACATCTGGTATACAGTCTTCTGGCTTAGTCTCATCTTCCTAAAAAAGGAAACAACGTGTCCACAACATGGCAAAAAAAAGCAGGGGCATTCTCTCCCACCTGCTTCAGGACACAGCCCTGCCTGCCCTTCTCATGGGCTGGACACGCCATGTCCTCCTAAGTTACCCTCTCAAGTACTAGAAAGACAGACAAATTATACCTGACAGAAAAGCCAGAAATAAATGTACCAGAAGAACCGTATCATGAAAATGTCATAGCTACTCTTAGAGAAATATTACTCAGGAATGATTTGTGAGTTCCAAATCCCGATTCTAGATCACAAAAATGAGATTCAGATCACAAACTTTCCTGCTACCTTAAAAGCCTTGTGGAATGAAGCAAAGTACAGAATTAAACAAGATTTCCTGAAATAATAAAAATAACATGTTAAATTAAAAAAGATTACTATCCCTCGGAGACCACTGTCATGTTTTACAATCTTGCACCTGCTGTATTTATGAAGTGTGCTTTCACCACCAAATAACTTCATTACATATTTAAGGTATTATTATTATTTTTTTTACCGTCTGATTGTTTTCAGTTCCCAGGAATGAAAGGTTTGTAATCTTTTCTTTTCATTGAATATGAGCAAGCAGAAAGCTGTCCTGGCCTCCACTGAGCCCTTTAAGTCTCCCTCCCACAGAGATACTGGACTCTAGGGCCAGGTGCCGCCGCAGAGCGGGGGTGGGGGGTTGGGGGGCGGGGGTGGTGAGGGGGGTGTCCTGCACCAGGGGCTGGACAGAGGACCTTCCAGTCTCCTCAGAGACTACTGTTCTCTGAGCTGATGATACTCGGGAAACCAGCACCAAGTCAGAGAAAGGGCACAGCTGTGAAAAGATGCAGCCACAGCAAGAGAGAGAGGGCGGGAGAAGGGGACTGATCGCTGATGAACATGTGGGGCTGCCACCGTTTCTTAGGGAACAGACACACGGCTGATTACATTTCTACAAAGGCACAGGCTGGACACAGAAAGCCCAAAGTGTATGAACTGACTGGCATCTGCAGGGAGAAGCAGGGTTACCATAAAAGGGCGTCCAAAACCTTATGCAACAGGTTTTTATAACAAGTAACTGAGTCTGAGCACTGAGTCAAATATGTCTAAGAGAATGACCAAAGGCACAAACTTCACACTGACCTTGATAAGCCCAGGAGGAGGTTTTTCATAACTAGAAAGGAAAAGAAAAAACATCATCCATCATGTTAACAGGAACGTAACACATTTTAGTGAGTACTGCAGACCAAAATAAAAAGGATATTTTTAGTAAAACCTCAAAACTACATTATGTCTAAAGCAGTTAATAAAATATGCCCAGCCGTCAGAGATCCCATATAAATAAACTGATGCTACACCACATCCTGTGGAGATCTGGAACTGAAATTCACTGAGGTAATAACTAGGTGTCTGAGCACAGTGATTTTATTGTTGAAGAAGAGAAAGCAAGAAACTGCAGGGGAAATGTGAAGGAAGAAGACCTGTGAGCTAATCACGGTTCCAAAGTGTCACAGTTGTCAGGTTATTTACCTAGCATAACTTCCACTTACTCAACACTGAAGAGGCACATGGTGGGAGAAGGTTGAGAAATCTTTTCTAACCTGGTTGGGGGCAGCACAGGGGGGCAGGAGCAAAGCTGGAGGGAAAGGCCTGTTGCAGGGGAAGGAAGTGGAGGTGATCTGTCCTAGAGGCTTCCTCTCCCGTTTCCCTGCAGCTCCTGGTTCAAATCCTGCCCACCCACCCTGCCTGCAGAGTGAGCCATCTGCTCCTCAGCTCTCTGACAGCCCTCTGTGCCTGTACTGATCTCGCTGGACCTGGGCTCCGGGACCCCTTCACGGTGCCCAGATGACAGGCAGCATTCAGTAAGAATGCTGCCAGAACAAGCAGAGGGATGATGTGTAGGAATGTTCTTTCCCTTTGAACTCTCAGACCCCCCCCCCAAGGGAACATATACATCATGCCTATGCTCCCAATTCATTTTCACTTCCCATTACTCTGCCGGAACTGCCCCAAAAGGCTTCTGGATTCCAAATCTGGATAATTAGTACCAAATGCTCATGTTCACTTTTCAGTACTGACCCACTTCTAGCTATAACATACACCACATGGGTGTTTATTTGGTTTTTAACTGTGAATGCCTATGGGACTATAAAGGAAAATAAGAATGTAAAAAAGAAACATGATAACCAGACATCCTGGGTCCATTCAACACCCCCACAAAGAACATTTTACTGAGGACATCTGGGCATAGCAGCTGCCTTAAAATTGTGAAAAGACTCCAGAAACTTGGAAATGTGAGAGCTTCAACATTGCTGCACCCAGATGGTGAAGCAAGGGTGAGTAATTAGGTGTTTTACAATGAAAATGTATTACTTTTATCAACAGATAAACATTAATAAATCTTTAAAAAGTGAGTTATATATTGATATGGGACAATCTCCATAACAGTTTAAGTCAAAAAAAAAAGGGTGGGGGGAGGGAATAGGGAGCAAAACTGTATTTGGTAAGCTTCTATTTGTGTGTATGTGAAGAAGGAGACTATATATGGCCACATACACACCTTTTAGGTACCTCTAAAGGATAGTAAAGAAACTACTTACATGCTTGCCTCTAGGGATAGGAACAAAGGATCATAAATAGGAGAGAGCTTTGTTTTTCATTCTATTCACATCTACATGCATTAGCTTGCAAAATGCTTTTTAATTGCAAAAGAAAAATGAAATCAATGGTAACTACATTACAGCTCTGTCAGTATAAACCCAGGTTAATATATCTCTGAAAGAAAAACCAAAGATAACTTGGGACCAAGAAAGAAAAATGGAGCCAAAAATATGCTATTAGGAGTTCATATCTGCTATAGAGTTATATATGCTGGATTTCTGTTTTAACAATCAATGCTATTTCTGTAATAGTTTCAGGAATATAACCTCCATTCTAGCCCTGATTAACTTGGTATTTTCCTCCCAGAAAAAAGGAGCAGGTACAATAGGCAAAACTAAAATTGATATTCAGGTAATATTAAAGACTCCACATAAAAATTTATTCCTTGCAGAAGTAATCAGTCAATTATCATGCTGGGCATGTTGCTAGGTACTGGAAGGGAGAACTAAGGGCATAAGGATATAACTAGTTAAATCCAAAAAACGAAAACTGCTCTTAGGACACCTGTGGCTCAGTCGGTTAAGCATCTGCCTTTGACTCAGGTCATGATCCCAGGGTCCTGGGATCGAGTCCCGCATCGAGTCCCGCATCGGGCACTCTGCTCAGTGGGGAGTCTACTTCTCCTTCTGCCTGCTGCTCCCCCTGCTTGTGCTCCCCCTGCTTGGGCTCATTCTCTGTCTCTGACAAATAAATAAAATCTAAAAAAAAAAAAAAAGAAAAAGAAAACTGCTCTCAGAAGTGACAATAAGTCTTTATAACTGTCCTGATAAAAGGAGATGTTCTATCTTTTTTGAGTAGATAGAATTCTAGCAGGAGTATTTTCAGTTCTAAATCAGTGTTAATGTGAATCCTGCACAGGGGAAGCAAGGCAGAGTAGAAACCTCATGGGCTTTGGATGTAAAAACCTTTGGTTTAAATTATGATTCATTCTCACTGTGTACTTTGGGCAATTTACTTAATCCCCCAGTGCCTCAATTTCCCCATGGGTGAGTGAATATGTCACACCACACACTTCACAATGCTGGCTTCTGTCCCTTGTTGAAGACAAGTCCATGCTCTCAAGAACCCCATGAGGCACCTCAAGACTGGAGCACTAGCATCACAGAGGCCAAGATCTGGAGCAACAGAGGTGGAAGAAAACAACTTGCCAGGTGGTAGTAAATGACAATACCATGAGTCTCTAATCTAGAGCTTTTCTGAGCAGACGAAGAGGATCTGCCCCATGAAGACTACATAGTAAACACCTAAGCATGAATAGACTTAGCTTCTTAGGTGTGGTACAGTGATTTTCCAAAGCAAATGCGTAAAATATTTTCTAACACAAAGTGGTGGCATAACCTAGCAGAACAACGGAAATCTGCACAAATTGGGGTAATGATACAGTTCATCTGCAGACATTCATTTAAAATACTATGCCATGGTTTATGCACAGAGACCAAGGGGAGTTTGGTAGTACAGTCTATGAATCCAATAATCCAGTAATACATCCTTTGAGCTACAAGAGTTGTACAAAAACAACATATGGCCAAATAGAAATCCAAATTCCTGAAAAATATGTAATTGTTATTGCCAAGATGAAAAGGAGTGTGATGGAACTACACATTGTGAAATCTATTATTAGCAATGGCATTCCCTAAAAAAGTCCATTTACAACTGTTTTCAAAAGGAAGGTAGTTGATGGCTCAAGGATCACACTGAAAAGAGCAGGCCAGCCTCCAACAGTGCAATGCATTTTGTGTCAAAGCTCCCAGGTTAATTATAAAGAATCTGAATCCTTCCAGGACGTTTCCTTACATCATCATCTTAGCTTAGGTAATGCAAGTGCCTGAAATAGAAACGAAGTATGTACGGAAGAACTCCGTGAGCACCAAACTTACAAGTTTGCCTTCTAAAGCTAATTACAGAAAGACAGAATCACAGAAAAGAACTGGAAGGTCATGAATCCACCTCCCACTGATGTTGCAACCTCCTTTACAACCTGCCCTCCTCCCGCGGGTTCTGGGCTCTCCCCGAACCCGCTGGAGCTGGGGGCACACGGGGCCCCTTTAAGTCAGGCCATGCTGACCAGCAACCACAGGAGACTCTGGTCCTAATTCTTTTTGTTGAGCTGGAATTGGCCTCTTCGTAGCCCCCACCGTTCATGCTGGTACAACCACCACCACCACCACCACCAACCCTCAGGAGTAAAGAGAACAAGTCTCCACTCTCTTCCACCTTTGGGATCTCTAGGGACAAGTCCCTCACCCCATTCTCCAGCCCTCCCCTCCCCAGCGCACTAAGGGTAGGGGAGGGCGTGTTCTCTTCCCTTCCTAGCAGCGGATGAAGAGAATGGGGGTTTTATCCGGCTCCCGGGGGGCCCTGTCAACCGCCAACCCTGAAAGGGCAGGACGGCGGCGCTCACTGCCCCTGCCGCGTGTCAGTCCCCAAATCCCCACCGAGCGCCTACTCAGTGCCGCACGGTCCTCAGCGCCAAGCAGAGCCCCGGCCGCACGCCGACCTCGGGCGGGGGGAATAAAGCCCGAGCTTCCCTGCCGGCCCAGGCCGCTCGGCGCGCCGGGGCAACGGCCCTTCCCTCCCCGGGGAGGCGCGACTGGAAGTCCGGGTGCCGGGGCCGCACGGGTCCCCGGGGACCCAGCCTCCCGCGCCCCCGCGGCGCCGGCCCACCCGGACCCCGCGCCTGGCGGAGGAGCGCGAGCGGCGCGGACTCACAAGGACTCCAGGTGCTTGAGCTGCTGCAGCTGCTGCGCGTCGTGCCGCCGCCGCTTCTGCTCCCGGCGCCGCTGCAGCTCCTGCTCGGCCGGCTCCCGCGGCCGCCGCACGCCCCCGGCCCCCGCGTCGTCGCGCCGCGGCCGGGAAGACATCGCGGCCCGCGCGGCTGAGGCGGCCCCCGCGGCGTGCCTGAGGCGGCTGAGGCGTTGGGAAGACGGCACTTCCTCCGCGCCGCGGCCGGCCGGCCCCGCAGCGCCCCCTCCCGCCGCCCGCCCGGGCCCGGCCCGCTGTCCCCGCCGAGGCCTCCCGGTCCCCGCCTCCCGCCAGGCCTCCCCGCCGCCTCCCGCGTCGTGGCCCCAAGTCCGCGCTCAGAGCGCCGTGGCCCCGCCGCCAGGCCGGCCGGGGTCGGAGCGCGCCCCCTGGCGGCGGCCGCGAGCGCGGCGGGCTGGGGGTGGGGGAGGCCTGCGGGGCAGCCGGGGAGCCCCGCCCCCCGCGCGCGCCCCTCCCCTGGGAGGCCTGGGGACCCGTGCGCGGCGGCTTTGTGGCCCCCCTGGCTAGACGCGGGCTGCTGCTCCTTGGGGCTGGGATTCACCCAGCTTTGAAGAAAGCAAGACACCCCAGAGAAATTCTCTTTTTCCAGAACGTCGTTAAAACGTAGTCAGCCTGCAGTGTATCTAGACAAGGTTTGGGTGCTAGACTGAAAGCCATAGACACTGAGCGCTTTTCATGTGCTCGTTATTGAGCTAAGCCCGCAAGAAAAATTGATTTAATCTTTAAAAACTTACTAAGTGCTGTTATTACCCGTATGTATTACCCTTATTTTATACATAAGAAGGAGGCGGAGAGAGTTCAATAACATGCCCGAGGATGCAGAAGTAGAAGTCGTGGAGCCAGGCCGCCGCGAAGTGTTAAAGTGCTTAACTAGGTTGCATTTTGTAACTGTATCTGATATGTGAAGTTATGATCACTGTTTCAGCTTTAACATAATGGAAGAAAGCACAAACGAAGTAAAAGTAACTATTCCCCTCAAATGTGGCATTCAATATGGTTAATACTTAAAATGAGGAGCTCCTTCATATTTATTAGAGAAAATCCAAATGAAGGAATGCACAAGGTCTATGAACAGAAACACGGTATTACACTGATATGTCCCAGAGCTTGGAAATCAGGTTTCCCTCTGAGAGAGAACTGTTGCATGAACCAATCCAGTTGTTGATGTAAGTTACTTGGTCAATAAGTAGCCTGTAAATATCTTGCAAGGTGTTTTCATCTAGGAGAATATAGTCTAAGGAAGATATAATTGAGAAACAAAGAAAGTGTAACTTAATGGTGTTACAGCAGGAAGATGGTCTATAGAATCTAAAAAAGGAGAACCAAAGAAAAATATCAGATGGTGTTTGTCCAGCATTGTCCGCTGAAGACACAAATTATATAAACACACGAGTGTTCTGATTATTAGAGAAATATGCACCATTCGGAATAAGGCATAAATTTGACCAACCTTAGCCCCATCTTTTCTTTTTTAACTGAAGTGTAGTTGACATACAATATTATACTAGTTTCAGGTGTACAACATAATGATTCAACATTTATATACATCAAGAAATGTTTATCTTGATACGTAGTTACCGTCTGTCACCACGCAAAGTCATGACAATATGATTGACTGTTTTCCCTGTGCTGGACTTTTCTTCCCTGTGACTTATTTATTTTATAGCTGGACGTTTGTGCCTCTTAATCCTCTTCACCTATCTCACCCTCCCCCCCACCCCTCCCCTCTAGCAACCACTATTTTTTTTCTCTATGAAACTGTTTCTGTTTGTTTTTTGTGTTCTAGATTCCACCTGTTAGTGAAATCATGTTGTCTTTTTCTGTCTGACTTATTTCACTTAGCATAATAGCTTCTCTGCCCATTCATGTTGTCAAAAATGGCAAGATTTCATTCCTTTTTATGGCTGAGTAATATTATATATATATATATATATATATATATATATATATATATATATATATATATATATATATACATATACCACATCTTTATCCATTCATCTATGGATGGACACTGGTTGTTTCCATATCTTGGTTGTTGTAAATAATGCTGCAAAATTCGGCCCCATCTTAAAGGAAATACCTTTCAAGACTAGCCAAGCCTCTGTGCTCTGATTCCATTCTCACCGAGCACCATCCTGACAGCGTATTATACCAGATCCTAATATGAGGAGAATGGTGTTTTTGTCAGATATGAGTATTGGGGTGAGTGGAAAGTTAGGTCTCCTACTGTAAATTAGTAACTTGACATTGTAATTTGTAATCTAATATCTTATGACTTTGGTTATTGTGGTAAATGGTATTATCCAAGTTGCCTGCAATAATCTCTCTCATCTCACTTGTTTTCTACAAATGACCTTGATACTCCTCCCATGGAGAAGTGGAGTCTATGCCCCTTTCCTTGAATCTAAACCAACCTTAGTGATTTGATTGTAACCAGTAGAAAGTAGTGGAAGTGATGCCTCATCTTTTTTTTTTAATTTTTTAAATTTTATTTATTTTTATTTTTTTAAAGATTTCATTTATTTGTCAGAGAGAGAGAAAGAGAGAGGGAACAGAAGCAGGGGGAGTGGGAGAGGGAGAAGCAGGCTTCCCGCTGAGCAGGGAGCCCGATGCAGGGCTCGATCCCAGGACCCTGGGACCATGACCTGAGCCGAAGGCAGATGCCCAACGATTGAGACACCCAGGTGCCCCAATGCCTCATCATTTTTTAAATTAGGTCAGAAAAGATCATATAGCTTCCACTTGGTTCTCTTAAAATATTTCCTCCTAAAGCCTTCAGGAATGTAAACTGTTCCATTGCTCTGAAGCCACCATGCTGTGAGAAGCCCAAATTAACTCACGAGGAGAGATCACATGAAGAGACCTTGAGATTCAATAAACAGGGTTGTCTGGCCAGACCCCAGTGCCTAACCACCCCAAACCTAGTCAGACGAGTCCACAGTGCATACCAGAGTAAATCTAAGTGTCTCTCTTTTTTTTTTAAAAAAGACTTTTTTTTATTTATTTGAGAGAGAGACTGAGAGAGAGAGACCATGAGAGGAGGGAGGGTCAGAGGGAGAAGCAGACTCCCCGCTGAGCAGGGAGCCCGATGCGGGACTCCATCCCGGGACTCCATCCCGGGACTCCATCCCGGGACTCCGGGATCATGACCTGAGCTGAAGGCAGACGCTTAACCGACTGAGCCACCCAGGCGCCCAATCTAAGTGTCTCTTATCGACCAAGCTGAACCAGAATTGTTCCTCCCCTCCTCAAGAGGCTTTGTTGCTGGCCGAGCTATGCCCTTAAAGTAAAAGTAAAGAAGGAATAAGAAAGAAGAAGGAAAAGATGAAAGGAAAAAACACCAGATGTTCTCCAGCCATAACCAGTGACCTTATAGCAAGCCACCAAATAATCTGAAAACCTTAGGATATACTTCTATGCAGAAAACAACTGGGTTGGGTTTCTCTCACTTGCAATTGAAAGAATCTTGACAGCAGCTCTTTCTCCCCCAGGGGTCCTGTCCCTGTACTATAATAAAAACCTTTTTGCACAAAAAGAAACCAACAAAAAACAGAAAGAAAGAATCTTGACCGATGCAAATATTTGCCTAACACAATGATTTGGTCTCTCCCTGCAAGGTGGTCCTGGGGGAAATGGATGCAAGAAGATCCAGCAATGGATAATTCCACTTCAGCAAGTACTAGTCAAGACTTTTTGAAAAACAACAGACCAAAATCCAAATCAAGCTGTTTTAAGAAAATAAATAAATAAATAAATAAATAAATAAACAAATAAATAAATAAAGGAATTTATTGGTTCACATAAGTGTAATGTCATGGGGTAGAAATTCAGGAATGGCTGGGTGTGGGTGCTGAAATATTATCGTTAACAACTTCTCTTGGGGCACCTTGGTGGCTCAGTTGGTTAAGCGTCTGCCTTCAGCTCAGGTCCTGATCTCAGGGTCCTGGGATCGAGCCCGCCTCAGACACCCTGCTCAGTGGGGAGTCTGTTTCTCCCTCTGCCCCTCCCCACTGCTTGTGTGCTTCCCCCCATCTCTCTCAAATAAATAAATAACATCTTAAAAACAACAACAACAACTTCTCTCTCTTTACTTCACCTTCTTTTGTATCGCTTCATTCTCATGTTGTTTATCTCATTGTGGGAGCAAAGATGGCCACCAATTTAGCAGCCCCAGCTGGAAGAAACCTCTTTCTCAGTTCCAGTAAGGTATCCATGTATTATACTCATTAGCTTGGTAAGGATTATGTAGCTGTCATGGAAAAAATCACTGTGATCAAGGAAGTGCAGTACTCTGACGGGCCAAACCAATACCATACACCCACCTTAATTCGCAGGGTTGGGATTAACAGTGTGGGAGGGGTAGTTCCTCAGAGTGAAATCAAGGTTCTGTTAACAGAGAGAGAGACAGACAGACAGAGACAGAGCTGGTGGGGGAAAGGGATTCTGGGCAGGGAAAAATAGCAGATGTCCAGTTTAGTAATCTGACAGACTCTCCTAGTACCATCTCGCATCTCTCCTTGATGATTAGCATGTTAGAGCTTATAAAGCAGTGAAAATCTTCTGCTACTTTTACCTACCTCTTTATGCGAGTCTGGGTTCTTTGTGGATTTTGACACCAGACTGAGAAATTTCCTGGTCACCAACCAGTGTGAAAGGCAAAGTGTTGTGTTCACTTCACAGAGGCATGATGGACCCCCATCCACCCCAAACTGGTTCACTGTCAAGACTGATGATGCCACATATGCACCAAGAAGGTAGGAAGAAATTTATTATTCACATATTGATTCTTTCTAGAAGAGCAGTTCAGACACCTAAGCTAGTCCAAAAATGACTTCAGCACAACAAAGGTGAGTGGCCCTGAGTTTCATTGTGTTTAGGGGGTGGAACTGGGTGAGTGTTCCCACACACAGGCCAAGATTTTGTGTAGTTTGAACTTCTCCCCTGGTGCCACATGGACTTTCCTATCAGCTTGCCCAAATGTAGGATGAAAAGGAAAAGTGGAGGTGAGACTTGAAAATTATCAGTGGTCAGCCTCAAAGCTGGAGTCAGATGCTTTATGACACAGGGCCATCTCTCAGATTCAGTCCAGTTTTCTGGTTGTGATCGACTCAATGTAGTAACATCTCACCCATTAACCAATGAAACAAACAGGAATTCTTTCCCTGCTGGTTATCATTCTAAAACACTATTCTTACCTGTCCCCCTTTA